CGCCGCCGGCGGCCCGGAGCACACACCCCCTCCGCCGCGCGGGCTGGAGGTTCGGAGCCGACGACGCCTCCGCTCCGAGCCTGCGGGGCTGCTCCGGCTCCTACGCCTGAGGGGTCGCGGACCCCCGGATGGCTGCGGAGGGGTCTGAGAGGCCAAGCGTGTGAGCTGGCGGTCATGGAGGCGGAGCAGCGGTCGGCGGCCGGGGCCAGCGAAGGGACGACCCCTGGGCTGGAAGCGGCGCCTCCCGCTGCTCCGGCTCCAGCGAACGCGGCCTCGGGTCGGAACCCGGGGTCCGCGCCGGAGCCTAAGCGAAGGCAGCTCGGGACGCTGCTGCAGCCCACGGTCAACAAGTTCTCCCTCCGGGTGTTCGGCAGCCACAAGGCAGTGGAAATCGAGCAGGAGCGGGTGAAGTCAGCGGGGGCCTGGATCATCCACCCCTACAGCGACTTCCGGTATTGGGGGCCCGGCCAGGAGGGCGGAGGACACTGATCCCACCCCCGTGGGCAGCGACGCGGATGCCAGGCCCGCCCTACCCTCCAGAGTCACCCAGGGGTCCCCGGGTGCAGCAGGAGAATTTCCTCCCCCTACCCAACCTAGGAATTCCTGGGCAGGGTATCCTCGGCCGGTGGTCCTCCGTGATTGTCGGGCTGAGACTCTAGAAAGGGCAAGCAAACATCAAGAAATCTCCAGAGGTCTTGTTTTCCCATTGCAGGAACCCCGTAGCCCATCTGGATCACAGGGACTACCCTAGTTTGGAATCTGAAAATTTATATCATATCCCAAGGCTCGGGTCAGCTTGCGGAGAAGTCGAACCTTGCTAGATGCCACCCTCTACCCCACCCCCAGCACCTGTCTATCTCAGCTGGATAGGCTACCTAGAGAGATAGGGACCCTGGGAAGGGGTAGGGGTCCTGACCACAGCTCTGGTTGCTGTCCCTGGTGCTGAAGGCGGGTGCTGTGGGGCGGGGCCAAAACTCAAAAGCGGTTAAGGCAGCAAAGCAGGACCACCGCCCAGGTGATTCCTCCGGAGAAGGGACTGAAAGTGGGGGTTGGGCCATTTTACAGTCCCCATCAAGCTGTACCTCTACATCAAGGTCGCTAGGGGAGGAGAGCAGCCCTGTCCTTGGGGGAAATGAAGGACAGTTTTTGGATGAGGTGGAGATGTGTGCGGAGCTGCTAACCTGGGAAAAGACCAAGTGTGAAGGAAACACAGTTGGAGATTTAGATTAATTATTGTGCATCCACAGACATCCACATTAATTGTTCCTTTTGCTCCCATTGTCCTTCCACTTCTCTTTTTACTGCCTGGCTTTCACCTTGCCAGTGCACCTTTTCCAGTCTTCCCTGGATCTTCCTCCCCTCCCCCAGTTCACCCTCAGATTTGTCCCCAGAAGCCACATCCCCCTTATGATTGTGCCTTTTCTCCATCTTCTACTTGCATCACCCGCCGGGCTTGTGACCGCCTGTGAGTCAGGCTGTGAAGAAGCACTGATGGCTTAAGCAAACCTTTTCTTCTCTCCCAGTATCTTACAACGCAAGATCTTTCTTCAGCAACCCAAAGAGGGGGGGGGCACACTAAAGGGTTTGTTTTTTAATGGAAGCACACAGTTTGAGGGGCTTCCTGGAGACCTTGATTTGGGAATCACCTAGTTCCCTCTCAGGGGCTGAAGGATTGATTTTGCAATCACAGACAGACCGGGTTGTGTTTTGGCTTTATGCTAGGATTAGATATGTACTAAAATTAAAGCCACTATTGGTATTTGAGTCTCTCAGATTATCCACTAATTTTTCTATGAATGAAGGCTGCACCATGCTCCCTACTGACCTCCTTTTTTCCACAGCTTCTGCCAAAGCAGTCTAGCTTTCCCTTGCCTAGGCTCAACCGGAGTCCCAGTGGGCACACCCAGCAGGTGCAGGGAGGTTAGAAAAGAAAAGGAATGCATAGCTCAAGTCTCACTACCTTGGGATCTCCTTAGGAGTTCTTCTGTGTTCAGCCATCAAAGGTGCTGGGGTGGGGTGGGGTGGGGTGGGGGTGGAAATCCCTAGAAAGCTTAGTGCTTAGTTCAGTCAGGAGGTAGGGTAATAGACCACCTCACAGAGTAATAGGATTTTATGGGTCCTGTGGTGCTGTAGAGAAGGAATGGGTGGGAGAGGCTGAGGAAGACATGAGGTCCTAGACTAGGAATGGTCAGAGAGCTAGAGAATGGTTAGAGAGCTAGAGAAGCAGCAACCTTTTCTCAAATCTGGGACTAAAGGGTGGGTGAGTCATAGCACCAACTACTATTTGTACTGCATTGTCACATCCATTGTCTCGATGGAAAAATTTTAACAACCTTGTGAAGTTAACATAGAGTACTATATCTGCTTTCACAAATTTTAAAATATTTAATAATGATGACACCAATTTCACATAGTAGGGATGAATATATACACATACATATATGTACATCAGGTATATCTGTAATTATAAAGCAAGCTTTTATGTAACAACTATTTATGTTAAGAGTTGTACATTGCTGGGCACTGGTGGCCCATGATTCTAATCCTATTTGCTCAATAGGCTAAGATCTGAGCATCACAATTCAAAGCCAGCCCAGGCAGGAAAGTACCTGAGAGTTGGGCACTGGGGCTTACACCTGTAATCCTAGCAACTCAGGAGACTGAGATCTGAGGATCACAGTTCAAAGCCAGCCTGAGCAGCAAAGTCCAAGAGACTCTTTGTTTTGTTTTGTTTTTGGGTCCGGTCATGGGGCCTGAACTCTGGGTCTGGGTGCTGTCCCTCAGCTCTTCAGCTCAAGGCTAGCACTCTACCACTTGAGCCACAGCGCCACTTCCGGCTTTTTTTTCTGCTTATGTGGTGCTGAGGAATCGAACCCAGGGCCTCATGCATGCAAGGCAAGCGCTCTACCACTGAGCCACCTTCCCAGCCCATCCTTTTTTCTTTTTGCAGTACTAGGGCATGAACTCAGGTCCTCACACTTTTTTTTTTTGCCAGTCTTGGGGTTTGAACTCAGGGCCTAGGCACTGTCCCTTGGCTTCTTTTGTTCAAGGATAGCACTCTGCTACTTGAGTCATAGTGCCACTTCCAGCCTTTTCTGTTTATGTGGTACTGAGGAATTGAACCCAGAGCTTCATGCATGCTAGGTAAGCACTCTACCACTGAGCCACATTTCCAAACCACCCTCCCTCCCTCGCCCTTTTTTTTTTTTTTTTGTCGGTCGTGGGGCTTGAACTCTGGGCCTAGGCACTGTCTCTCAGCTCAAGGCGAGCGCGCTACCACTTGAGCTACAGCACCACTTCCTGTTTTCTGGTGGTTTATTGGAGATAGGAGTCTCACGGTCTCTCCTGCCCAGGCTGGCTTTGAACCGCGATCCTCAGATCTCAGCCTCCTGAGTAGCTAGGATTACAGGCGTGAGCCACCAGCACCCGGCTTTTTTTTTTTTTTTTGTCAGTTGTGGGGCTTGAGCTCAGGGTCGGGACTCTGTTCTGTAACTTTTTTTGCTCAAGGCTAGCACTCTATCACTTTGATCCACAACACCACTTCTGTTTTCTGTTGGTTAATTGAGATAAGAGTGTCTCAGGGACTTTTCTGCGCAGAGTAGCTTTGAACTGCCATCCTCAGATCTCAGATCTCAGCCTCTTTTTTTTTTTTTTCTCAGTTGTGGAGCTTGAACTCTTGGCCTGGGTGCTGTCCCTCAGTTCTTCAACTGGTTTTCTGAGTAGTTTATTGGAGATAAGAGTCTCACGGACTTTCATGCTCAGGCAGGCTTCGAACTGAGATCCTCAGATCTAGCCTCCTAAGTAGCTAGGATTACAGGCATGAGCCATGGGCACCTGGCAGATCTCTGCCTCTTGAGTAGTTTAGGATTACAGGCATAAGCCAACCAGCAACCAGTGGGCCTTACACTCTTGATTAACTTTTCTTTGCTGAAGGCTGGCAGTCTACCATTTGAACAATGCTTCCACTTCTAGGTTTTTACTCCTTAATTGAAGATACAAGTCTCTCAAATTTATTTGCTAGACTAGCTCTGAACCTCCTAGTAGATTTGTGTGTGTGTGTGTGGAGGGAGGATTATGTTGAAAATTGAACTTGTGCCCAGTGCTGGTGGCTCATACCTGTAATCCTAGCTACTCAGGAGGCTGAGATCCAAGGATCACTGTTCAAAGCCAGCCCGGGTAGGAAAGTTCATGAGACTCTTATCTCCAATTAGCCACCAGAAAACTAGAGTGGAGCTGTGGCTGTGCTAGCATGCTAGCCTTGAGCAAAAAGAACTCAGGGGCAGCACCTAGTCCCTGAGTTCAAGTCCTCTGACTGACACACACACACAAAGAACTTGTGGCCTAGACCAGGCTAAGTATATAATGCTGCTGCTTCTGCTGCTGCTGCTGCTGCTGCTCCTCCTCCTTCTCCCCCTCCCCCTCCTCCTCTTCTTCTTCATCTTTGTCATCGTGGGGCTTGAACTCTGGGCTTGGGTGCTATCCCTCAGCTCTTTAACTCAAGGCCAGCGCTCTGCCACTTGAGCCACAGTGCCACTTCTGGTTTTCTAGTGGTTTATTGGAGATAAAGAGTCTCATGGACTTTCCTGCCCGGGCTAGCTTTGAACCGTGAGCCTCAGATCTCAGCCTCCTGAGTAGCCAGGATTACAGGCGTGAGCTACTGGCACCTGGCTTCTTATTTATTTTTAATAAGTTTTTTTTATTGTGAGAATACCATATAGAGAGGTTACAATTACATGTCTTCTTCTTCTGCTGCTTCTTCTGCTTCTTCTTCGCCAGGGGGGCATTGAACTCTGGCCCTGGGTGCTGTCCCTCAGCTCTACTGCTCAAGACTAGCACTCTAGCACTTGAGCCTTAGCACCACTTCTAGCCTTTTCTGCTTATGTGGTGCTAAGGAATTGAACCCAGGGCCTCATGCGTGCAAGGTAAGCACTCTACCACTGAGCCACCTTCCCAGCCCCATTCCTGAGCTTCTTTTGCTCAAGGCTAGAACTCTACCACTTGAGCCACAGTGTCACTTCCAGCTTTTTCTATGTGGTACTGAGGAATTGAACCCAGAGCTCATGCATGATAGCCAAGCACTATACAAATAAGCAACATTCCCAGCCCCTCTGGGACTCTAATTTCTAAAACAGTTTTGTTACTTTTCTGTGAATTCTAAAGCAATGTATATAGTTTAGTTTTGCCTGGTTTTGAAACATAGTGCCAGTGGAATCATTTGGATATGTATCATATTTCTTTGCATCTGGATATATATCATGTTTGTTTCTTCTGCTCAACATTGAATTTGAGAGATCCACCTCTACTACTACTGAATGTAGCTATAGTTGAGTGGTTTCCTAGATATAGAGTGAATATGTTGCAGCATATTTATATGTAGGATTTTTTTCCTTTGGTGAAGCTGAAACTCATAGTATTTTGCCTACTAGGCATATTGTCAGCTCCTTTCTTGTCTTACCTACATTTTCTATAGATAGTCATTTGAATTGTACCAAATTTAATCCTGCTGTAGGTTTCCTATATATATATGTCTTGGAGCACATTCCCTAAAGTGCATGTGTTCCTAGGGACAGAATTGTTGCTCTGCAGGGAATGCAAATGTTTAACTTAACTAAATGATGTGGAACTAGTTTCCCAAATGATGGTCCTAATTTTCCCTCCTAGTGACCATTAATCTATATTCTAATCTATATTCCACCCACTCTTTCTTGGCAGTGTCAGACCTCTGTCCTTGTTGTACTGGTGAACCATCACCTTGGTCTTACTCTGCATTCCAATCCTCTCTTAGGTTTTACTGGGATCTGATCATGCTGCTGCTGATGGTGGGAAACCTCATCGTACTGCCAGTGGGTATCACCTTTTTCAAGGAGGAGAACTCCCCACCCTGGATTGTCTTCAATGTCCTCTCTGACACTTTCTTCTTGCTGGATCTGGTGCTCAACTTCCGAACGGGCATTGTAGTGGAGGAGGGCTCTGAGATCCTGTTGGCACCACGTGCCATCCGCACTCGCTATCTGCGTACCTGGTTCCTGGTTGACCTCATCTCCTCTATCCCAGTGGATTACATTTTCCTAGTGGTGGAGCTAGAGCCAAGGCTGGATGCTGAGGTCTACAAAACAGCGAGAGCATTGCGCATCGTTCGCTTTACCAAGATCCTCAGCCTGCTGCGACTGCTCCGCCTCTCCCGCCTCATCCGCTACATACACCAGTGGGAGGAGGTGGGGTGGGGAGGTGGGCAGGGGGGCTTGCAGATTCCTCAGTGGGAGGGTGCTGTGGGTGGGGATCCTGGTGACTTTATGGGAGGGGGCAGGTAGCTGAGGCTTCCATGGAAGAATTGACAGGAACAGAATAAGTGTTGGATGAATGAGGCCTGGGGTAGGGCAGGGGGTGCTGGAGGGTAATGCACAGCAGCTGGATAAACACTTTAGAGCTAGTTGATGGCTGGGTAGAAGATGGATGGAAAGAAGACGTTGCTAATTCAGGGCAGCAGAGTTTAGTGGTTGGGAGTACAGGTTCTAAAAATCTCATTTCCTGGCTGGGAATGTGCCTTAGTGGTAGAGTGCTTGCCCAGCATGCATGAAGTCCTGGGTTTGATTCCTCAGTACCCATAAACAGAAAAAGCCAGATGTAACACTGTGGCTCAAGTGGTAGAGTACTAGCCTTGAGCAAAAGAAGCTCAGGGACAGTGCCTAGGCCCTGAATTCAAGCCCCAGGACTAGCAAACAAACTCATTTCCTGGGGGTCAGATCCTAATTTTTTAAATCTAAAATATATACAAGACTGATTCTTACTCTCTAAGATGGTAATCATATATTTAATTATGATTTAGTTGAAGGATTAAAGGAGTTAATTCGTATAAAGCACTTAGAAAGGCATCTGTAGCCTAATAAGTTCTCAGCAAATTTGTTGTTATGATTACTTTTGTTGGAGAAGAAGAGCTGCCTGCTCTAATTCTTTTTTTTTTTTTTTTGGTCCGGTCGTGGGGCCTGAACTCTGGGCCTGGGTGCTGTCCCTCAGCTCTTCAGCTCAAGGCTAGCACTCTACCACTTGAGCCACAGCGCCACTTCCGGCTTTTTTCTTATGTGGTGCTGAGGAATCAAACCCAGGGCCTCAGGCATGCAAGGCAAGCGCTCTACCACTGAGCCACCTTCCCAGCCCTATGCCTGCTCTAATTCTCATACACTTGGCCTGGACCTTACATTGTGAAAAGCCCCCTTCTCCTCTTTTCTAGGCTACATCTGTGCAGCTTATGCAGCAGACCAGTTTGAGTCTCTGCTGTGGCACTTACTATGTGATTCTAGGCACTTGATTGGCCTCACTTTTCCTATAACACAACCTACTTTGTATTAGTTCTGTGTGCGTGCATGTGCATGCTATAAAACTGTACAAAAAAATAGTAGCCACATTTTTTTAATTCAGGGAAGCTGGGGCAAGAGAGAAGTTCAAAGAGAATTTGCAAGGCTAGGACTGGAGGAGGACTAGCAGGGAGGGGTTCCTGTCCACAGCAGCCCTTCCTCGGACTCCTCAGATCTTTCACATGACCTATGACCTGGCCAGCGCTGTGGTTCGCATCTTCAACCTCATTGGGATGATGCTGCTCCTCTGTCACTGGGATGGCTGTCTGCAGTTCCTGGTCCCCATGCTGCAGGACTTTCCTCCCGACTGCTGGGTCTCCATGAACCGCATGGTGGTGAGAAGCCCCCACAGCTCTGCCACTCCTGGGCTTTCTAAGGGCTCTTCTGACCAAGTAACAGGGATGGACCTGGGAGCAGGAGGTCAGAGATAATCAACAGAGAAGATAAGAGGAGGTGGGTTGGAGGGAGGTGAAAGGAGAGAGTTCCAGATGGAGTCCTTGTGTGTTGGAGGGAGCGGGCAAGTAAAGGAAGCCTAGGCAGAAACTGAGGTCCCCCCAAGTTGCAAAACAGGCCCCTTGTGCTTCAAGGGACTCCACAATCAAACAAGTGTCTCCTGAAGGAAGGTCTGAAGTAGAAGGACTCAAAGAGAAAAAGAGGCAGCTAAAGAGTGAGGTTCTGAGGGACCCATGCCCAGATCTACAATGTACTCTGCCCCCCAGAACCATTCGTGGGGCCGCCAGTATTCCCACGCCCTGTTCAAGGCCATGAGCCACATGCTGTGCATTGGCTATGGGCAGCAGGCACCTGTAGGCATGCCTGACGTCTGGCTCACCATGCTCAGCATGATTGTGGGTGCCACGTGCTACGCCATGTTCATCGGTCATGCCACTGCACTCATCCAGTCCCTGGACTCTTCCCGGCGTCAGTACCAAGAGAAGGTCAGCAGGGACAGGAGAGGGAAGGGGTGGGCATGGAGAGGTGCTGAAAATTGGGTAGTTCAACTTAAGGCCCATTTTGATAAGCCTCTATGTTCTTCCCTGCCTCATGACCATTTGTCCCATACCCTATGTGAACCTTTTCCTTGTTTGGGCTGAATTTTGTTATTGGACCCCTCCTCTGCTCATATCTGGGTTTTTCTGTGACGGCTGTGTGTCTTCCCTATGTTTATCATTATCAATATGTCCTCTGTGGCCCTGTGTGTCCATGTCTGGCTCAATGTTTTACCCCTCTGGGTCTGACCTGCGTCTATGACCTTTCACCTCCCCCTCCCTTGTTCTGGCCCTATGTCTGTATACTTTTTCTGCTGACAATGGGTTGGCCCTCCAGTACAAGCAGGTGGAGCAGTACATGTCCTTCCACAAGCTGCCAGCTGACACACGACAGCGCATCCATGAGTACTACGAGCATCGCTACCAGGGCAAGATGTTTGATGAGGAGAGCATCCTAGGCGAGCTGAGCGAGCCACTGCGGGAGGTGGGGCTGGGCTGGGCTGGGCTGGGCTCTGAGGGTGGGGCTTATCAAGGATCCTGGCTTCTAGGGTGCTGTCTGGGAGTAGGTCTACAGATGCTCCTGTGAGGAGGGAAGCCTTTAGAGGCCCTTACAGAGGCCAGGTGTTAGAAGGGCTTCTTAGGTCTTTCTTGAAGGTCTTGTGGGAGTGAAGTATGTATGGAGGAAAGACTTCAGGGGGTTCTATTTGGGAGAAGTGTTTCCATGAGGACCCATGGGAGTGTTCTGAAGACTGGAGCTTAGGGATGCTTCCAAGTCCCCTGTAATAATCCCTAGCCTTTTTTTTCAGGTCTTGATCTAGGGGTGCAATATCTGGAGACAGATGGGTTAGGTGGGGACATCTTGGGATGAGGGGGTGGTGCACAGCCAGCTAACAAGCCTCTTTTCTGCCCAGGAGATCATTAACTTCACCTGTCGGGGCCTAGTAGCCCACATGCCTCTGTTTGCCCATGCTGACCCCAGCTTCGTCACCGCAGTGCTCACCAAGCTACGCTTTGAGGTCTTCCAGCCAGGAGACCTCGTGGTGCGTGAGGGCTCCGTGGGCAGGAAGATGTACTTCATCCAGCATGGGCTGCTCAGCGTGCTGGCACGTGGTGCCCAGGACACCCGCCTCACTGATGGATCCTACTTTGGGGGTCAGCAAGCCTCAGGGAGGAGGTGGGGGTAGTTGCAAACATTGGACAGATGGAAGCTACTCCTTGGAACAGGATCCCTACCTAGCTATGCAACCAAATTCCAGGTCCTCACCAGACCTATGCAATAAGAATCTCTAGGCCTAGGGCCTAGAGCTGTGTTTTTAAAAAAGGTTCTTTGGAGACCAGGTGTAGTGACTCATGTCTATAATTCTAACTAATTGGGAAGTGGAGATCCAGAGGATTGTAGTTGGAGGCCAGCCTGTGCAAAATGTTGATCTTGGTGGTTCAAAGCCAGACATGGCAGGGAAGTCCATGAGACTCTTATCTCCAATAAACCACTCAGAAAACTGGAAGTGGCACTGTGGCTCAAGTGGTAGAGGCGCTAGCCTTGAACTAGAAAGTTGAGGGACAGAGCCCAGGCCCAGAGTTCAAGCCTTACAACAGACCAAAAAAAAAAAAAGTTGATCTTAGCCAATAAAAAAAATTAGTGTGGTTCTACACACCTGTCATCCCAACTATACAGGCAGAATAAATAGTCTAGACCAGCTCTCATAATGAGACTGTCTTCGAAAGATAAAAATTAGACACCAGGAGAGCACACCTGTAATTCTAGTTGCTTGAGACATTCAAAACCAGCCTGGCAGAAAAGTCTTAAGAGAAATTAACTAGGAAAACAATATGGTGCTCGTTGGTCATGCCTGTAATCCTAGCTCAATCTTCAGTTTCAGCCTCCTGAGTAGCTAGGAGCATCTGTGAGACCCATCTCCAATTAGCCACCAAAAAAAGCCAGAAGTAGAGCTGTGGCTCCAGTGGTAGAGTGCTAGCCTTGAGCAGAAAAGCTCAGGGACAGCACCCACACCTTGAGTTCAAGCCCCAGTTCAAGCCCACATACAAATACAAAACATGTCCCAGTATTGGCACAAAAGGTGGAGATTGGGGTTTGGCACAGGTGTAACAGTGTCCTTCCTAGCACAAAGCCCTAAGTTGAAACCAAATGAACCAAACAAATAAATTTAAAAAACCCAACCCTCAGGAGATTCCAATGCATAGCCCTAACCTTGAGGCCTTTTATGGCCCAAGCAGTAAAATTCAGGATCCCTATGGGTTAAGAAAAAGATAGGAATGAAGCCCAGCTATCTCAGAGACTTGAGGTTTAACCTGGTGGTATGATCTATGGACCCAGCGTGTGACAGTGGGGAACAGTTCTGCCACCTGCTGCCCAAAGTGAGGCTCAAAGAGTCATTCCCCAAGCCATCAATCCCATCATGTTTCACATGGCTTCCTTTTAGCTCTGCTTTTCTCCTCTAGGGAGCTCCTTGGTGGTCATTCAAAGGGGTGGGCAGGGAAGATACACAGACATAGTTACCCCAGGTCTATCCCTGAGTATAAAGCAATGGGACTGAGGATTAAGGTGGAGTAGCTAGGAGTCAGCAAAACCTGCCTATTCGTCAGCTGCAACTTGGAGAGCAGGAGAAGGACAGAGAGCTGTTTTCAGACCGTGGGAAGGTCAATGCTTGGAATATTTGGTATCCTGGGGTAGGAGTAATCATTAGTTTCTCCAAGTTTAACAAGGAGTCAGAATTCTGGGTTAGCATCTACAGGCCCTGTAAGAGAGAGCTCATGGGGAAAGGGAGCTTTGGGAAAGGGGTCCTGAGCCTTCCAACTTCTGCAGAGATCTGCCTGCTGACTCGGGGCCGGCGCACAGCCAGCGTGAGGGCTGACACCTACTGCCGCCTCTACTCACTCAGTGTGGATCACTTCAATGCTGTGCTGGAAGAGTTCCCCATGATGCGACGGGCTTTTGAGACCGTGGCCATGGATCGCCTGCGCCGCATCGGTGAGGCCTGTCCACCCCATCTGCTCTGCACCTCTTCCTATCTCTGTAGCAGGAAGTCTAGGTTCTGGTGCTTTGGCACCACATCCCAACCCACCCAGACCCAGCAAATGCCCCAACAGACATTTTAGTACTGAGGCACATCATCCTCAGTCCTGATCTCAGCATGTTGTGCCCATGGCTATAACATCAACCTTCCTTATGCCTTGAGTCCTGAGTATCAGCCTCTGAACCAGACTATCTCCAATTCATATTCTTTTCCTTCAGCCCTGTCTTCCAAGATCTACCCCTCCCCAGAGCCATCGCTGTACTCCTGACTCTCATTCCCCACACCCTCCACTCCATCCTGTTACCCTCAAATACTTTGAAATCCAGCTTCCATCTTGGATTCCTTTCTAACTCCTCTCTGCTGGGACATCTTCTAGGCAAGAAGAATTCCATCCTGCAGAGGAAGCGCTCTGAGCCGAGTCCCAGCAGCAGTGGTGGCATCATGGAGCAGCATTTGGTGCAACACGACAGGGACATGGCTCGGGGTGTCCGTGGCTTGGCCCCAGGCACAGGAGCCCGGCTAAGTGGAAAGCCAGTGCTGTGGGAGCCACTGGTACATGCCCCCCTTCAAGCAGCTGCCATGACGTCCAATGTGGCCATTGCCCTGACTCACCAGCGAGGTTCTCTGCCCCTCTCCCCTGACTCTCCAGCCACTCTTCTTGCTCGCTCTGCTCGCCGCTCAGCAGGATCCCCAGCCTCCCCACTGGTGCCTGTCCGAGCTGGTCCTCTGCTGGCCAGGGGACCTTGGGCATCCACCTCCCGTCTGCCTGCCCCACCTGCCCGAACACTCCATGCCAGCCTATCCCGGGCTGGGCGCTCCCAGGTGTCTCTGCTGGGCCCACCCCCAGGAGGAGGTGGAAGGCGGCTAGGACCCCGGGGTCGCCCCCTCTCAGCCTCCCAACCTTCTCTGCCTCAGAGGGCGACAGGTGATGGCTCTCCTGGGCGAAAGGCTTCTGGAAGTGAGCGTCTGCCCCCCTCAGGGCTCCTGGCCAAGCCTCCAGGGACAGCACAAGCACCCAGGCCATCAGTGCCAGAACCAGCCACCCCCCGGGGCCCCCAGCTCTCTGCCAACATGTGAACTCCTTGGTCATATTGGCCTTAGCTCTTAGGGTGCAATAGTGTGTCTATGCCCAAGGACAGTTGCCCCTTGGGAAACACCAAGGGGTCCTACAACACTGCCCTGTGGGAATGTCTCCCCCTTACTGCCATGAAGATGTTCTATGTCCTCAACCCAAGCAGCCACAGCCTGTCTGACATCCTAATTCATTCACTCATTTGTCATATGTATACGAGTGCCTACCATGTTCAAGGCACTGTGTCAGACACTGTAGGTCTCCACTGCCAAGTAGAAGTGACTCAGAGCCCTCGGATAAGGGTATCCCTCCCAGCCATGGTCCTGCCAGGTGCAGGCCCTGGCTCTTGACCCTGCCTTTACTAAGCACAAGTACTTGCCACCGCCATCACTGCCAAGTAACTAGATGTCTCTTTCCTTGTCTGTGATACTACAGGCTCTGTCTGGCTTGTTTATCTTCCTGTCCCCTGCCTGGCGTGTTTATCTTAGCATAGCTGTCAGTTACCTGTGCCCCCATTGCTGCCAACAGAGGTCTTGTGTCCTAAGTGTGGGCATCTACCTTTGCCCTCTCACTGCCACCTCTGGACCCTAGAGTCTATACTCTGAGTGGGAACATGCATCTCCCTCCAAGTTCCCAGCAGTCTCTGTCTGTGTGGTAGAACAGTCTTTATAAACCTGGAGCTTCCTCTCCCCTGTGCCTCTTGCCCCTGTGGTGTCTCCCACTTAAAGATAAGGGAAACTTAACACTTTATTTAGTGTGCCAGCCTAGATCCCCCCAGGTTGGGGGCAAGTGGTTACATTCTTACATGGCTTTTCTTTTTTGTCCCTCTTTGTTTATGTGTCTTATTTATTGTCATTTATTAAGTTTATTTATTCACTTACTAATTTAACTTATTATCAATTCATTTTGTTCTCTCATTCCTTTGTTGTCTGTCCACACACACACACACACACACACACACACACACACACACACATCTCCCTAGTAGGAAGATGGGAGGAATAGAAGGAGGCAGGGGCCCTCCATGCCATCTCTATGCTCACTAAATGCCATCAGCAGCAATACTCTAACCTTCTCCCTATCCAGATAGTAGCACTAGGGGCCTCCCAAGAGGGGGAAGTTGATGTGTCTACCTTTAGGTTTGCTGGTGCTGCAGGAGTAAGGGGAGGCACTGAGGCCTCCATGCCCGGGGAAGAGCAGGCCATTCAGCCTCTCTGCCTTCTCAGGGACTAGGGTAATCCCTTACCTACCCACATTGTCCCTTCTACACTGCAGCGTAGAAGAATGTGGGGCTAGCAGCCTAAATCTCTTCCTTTCCTGGGTGGGGAGTTCTGGGGTTCTGGTATGTGGGAGAAGTTTTTATAATTGCTCCTAAACAGTTGGGTTTAAAAAGAAAATAGACACTCGTTTTGGCTTCTGGTCTGTGTGTGGGTGTGCAGGAATTTCTGGGTGCAAGAAGGGTATGTGAATCATCAAGGCAAGTGGTGAGCATGAGTGCCAGGAGACTAGTCTCTTAGTCTAGCACAGAGCTTGTGAAGCACTGACAAGAGCAGCCCACATAGCAGGATGCCAGTGGCTCATGCCTGTAATCTAGCTATTCTGGAGGCTGAGATCTGAGGATTGAGGCTCACCACCCAGGGCAGGAAAGTCTGTGAGGTTTAATCTCCAGGTAACTAGCAAAAAGCTAGAAGTGGAGGTATGGCTCAAGCGGTGGATCAACTAGCCTTTAACAGAAATGCTAAGGAACAGTGCCCAAGCCCTTAATTCAAGCCCTAGTACACACACACACACACACACACACACACACCAGCCCATTCGGCTTTCAGTTCTCCCCAACATCCATGTACCCTAGCTTCCTCCAAATGTGACAGTTTAATGTCACTGTCAATCACCATAAAGCAGAGCCTTCTCCAGACCATCAGGAGATCCCACTGCTCAGGAGATAGTCACATTACGAGAGCACCACACACACAAAAAATCAAACTGCATAAACACAAGGTATTTTTTAAAATGATTCTGTGTAGGCTGTGGAAAAGATCACCCTAATTCCTCTCCCCAGCCCCAGGGATTGGAAGCCTAGATGAATAGAATTAACCAGCCAAGCTGGGATTAAAGGCTCAGGGCATCTTAGGTCTAGCTGAGCAGATTGAATGCAGGGGATATACAATTGGTAGCCAGTGCAAAATTAATTGGACACAGATTTCCAGGACCTCAGGGAGATGGGGAGGGGTACCCTGGAATGGGGCTAGATGACAGATGTTAATTCTGGTAGGAAGGATGGGGGTACAGAGCCATGCTGTGGAAGGGGTGTTGGTTTCAAGCAGCAGAGTGGAGGAGGAAGGGATATGATACAGGCGAGGTCTGAGGAGAGAGGGGCATCTCAGGATATGCTCAGCACCCGCATGATGTTGGTATAGCCAGAGCCAGGTCGCCAGCCTGTCACTACAATCACCAGATCCCCAGCTCGGAGGAAGCCACGGAGCTTTCCTGGGAGAGGGAAGAAGCAGTGGTTTAGTCACTGAGGGACCCATCACCTCAAGGCTACCCTGGAGAATGGGATTAGGAACCTAAGCTGGAGGCACTGCCAGGAGGAAAAGCCAGCAGCATGTTCACCGGGCAGAATGAATATATATCCTTGCTAAGTATTAAACCTGTTCACATATGGCAGTGCTGAGAGAAAGAGGTCAAGCCACTCATGCATGTAATCCTAGCTACTCAGGAGGCTGAGATCTAAGGATTGCAGTTTGAAGCCAGACCAGGCAGGAAAGTCTGTGAGACTCTTATCTCCAATAAACTACTTAGAAAAATCTAGAAGTGGTACTCTGGTTCAAGTGGTAGAGTGATAGCCTTGAGCAAAAGAAGCTCAGGGATGGTGCCCAGGCCCCAGAACCAGCAAAAATAAAATAATTTGGGGCCAGAGGAGATAGGCAAAGCCCTCTGAGTGAATGTGAGCTAGGTCAGAGGAGATGGGAAGTCTAGGAGACTTACCACTTTCAATGCCAAATTGGACTCTACGATCAACATCATCTGCCCAGATGGCCTCTGGAGGTTCGTGGTAGAGCAAGGGGAATACTCCTCGACACAAGTGGGCCTGGCGGGCAGCCTGGGCAGAACGAGTGACAGCAATGACTGCTGCCCGAGGTCGGTACCGAGACAGAAGCTGGGCTGAGCTGCAAGAAGACAAGGTAAGCCCATGACATTAACATAGTGTTAAACCAGGAAATAAGCTTGATTTCTGGTTCCAAGTGTCACCAACAAACTATGCAATCCTAAGTAGGTTATAATACTCCTCTGGGTCTTAGTTTTCCCCTGTCATACGATGATGATAGGAGGTAGCAAGTATGTACTATATGAAATAAAGAGAAACTTCTTTTTTTGGGGGGGGTCCGGTCGTGGGGCCTGAACTCTGGGGCCTGGGTGCTGTCCTCAGCTCTTCAGCTCAAGGCTAGCACTCTACCACTTGAGCCACAGTGCCACTTCTGGCTTTTTTCTTTTTGCT